GACGACTGTAGGATCAATCTGGTCCTAAGTTCTATTTCATACAACACGCTCTATTACCCCAACCCCCTCCCCAAACCACTGGCCTTTCACAAGCAGTAGAGACAGTTGCCAGGGATGGGGACGTAAAAGACTTCCACCACAATATTCTGTCTTCTGTGCTGGATATGTTCGGTCTTCAATGGTTTCTCTCTCTCTCTCTCTCTCTCTCTCTCTCTCTCTCTCTCTCTCTCTCTCTCTCTCTCTCTCTCTCTCTCTCTCTCTCTTACTCTCTCCCAAAGTGTCTTACTGTCTCTGTCTCTGTTGCCTCTCTCTGACCTGACCGTGTCGCCATATCTGTCTTTGTTGCTCGCCTTATCCGCCCCCCCCCACTCTCTCTCACAAACACATACACACACATACACACACACAGACTGCATCTGTTTCAACACCCACGATATTCATCGTTCAGTCATCTCATTACCGCTCGTTTCTCTAGAAAATCACCAAAATATTAGGCAGATTCCCCTGGCCTGGTGCCCACTGAGGTTAGTGCAAAAATTCGAACCTATCTTTTCCCAGTTCGCCGAAGGCATGAAAAGTTAGAACCCAAAACCTTCGGAAGACGAAGCAAACGACTCAAGAATCTTTTAAGTTGATTTGAGTTGAGTCAAGAATCGACATCACAGCACTCGGGGCATTCTCGAGTAGGCTCCATCGTCATCTACCGCAGCCAGCGCAGAGTTCTTTTACTGATGTTGCCGGTCACAATCTGCTTATATGTCTGTCTTGCCGTCTGTTCAAGTGTATATTGCAAGACAATATCTCGATAGGATTTTGAGCAATAAGTTGCAAACTGCTGTTTCGAGTCATTATCTCGCGGTAAGGTGTACACTCAGGGGTGCTGCTTTTCATATACATACATCTGCTCATCCTTTTTTGGAATGCAATTGTTCGTTTTTTGAAACCATACTCTGGCTCTTGCCAAGTGCTGCAATATAACCCGGTCATAAATATGGTCTAATGGCTAAACGCGGTTTCTGGGATCTCCCCACGGGTGATCCTCGTCCACATGCTGGCACTTTGTGTCATAAGGTTTTTATCGCTTGCGTGATGTCCTGGTGGGGTAAAAGAAGAAAGATAGAAAATCTTATTTTATCTTCTTTCGCTCCTATCGCTCCCACTTATGTCGTTGACTGCCTTTGTCTTTTATATCTTCATCTCAGTTGGCTGCGTGGTCTCGAGGCATACTGTCCGCCACGAGTGCTAGAGGTTCTGTGTTCAATCCCCGGTAAGGGCTAGGATTTGTTTCATGTGGACTTCTAGTAATTCCCCCTTTCTCTGGGTAGTGAGATCGGGCGCCCGTGTGCATAATTCATCCTCATCATCACCTGCCAACTGGCGTAGGCGCTCATGCGTCTCCACAGATCATGATCCCTGGTTGACTGGAACAGCTCTCTTGATGATATCTCTCCATGCCATTGTTTCAGCCCATCCAGCATCATCTCTCTTGGTCTGCCTCTACCCCTTTTTCCAATGATCGTTCCAGTTGTCACGATGTTTTCCAATGTCTCTCTTTTCATTACATGGCCAAAGAACAGTGTTTGTCTCTTTCTTATTGTTGTATATAGAGATCTACTTTCATTAGCCTCTTTCAAGCAATCGTTATTAGTTACTCTGGCCGTGCAAGGTATTCGTAACATTCGTCTCAGAAACCACATCTCTGTTGCTTCCAAATTCTTCTTAATTTGTTCACTGACATTCTAAGATTCGCTGCCAAACAGCAGAGCGACCGTACTTTTTCAGTGACAGTGAACAACGAAGTTTCTAGGGCTCGCATTTAGGAGAACGGTACACACCCCCCCCCACCCCCCAGCCACGGAGCGGTTATCTCCTCCCTCATCTTTAACATCTTAGTCAACGACATGAGGGAGGCGATTAAAATTAAGAACCCTGAGGTCGAATAATCTCAATTTGCCGACGACAGTGCTCTGTACTACAGTAATAGAGGCACTAGAATCACCCGGAAGGCTCTGCAGACAGAAATTTGCCATATAACAGAATGGATGACGAAATGGGAGTTTAAGTTCAACGTGGCCAAGTCGGTCATGACGATCTTCCACAACAAAGGAGTCCAAAGGTACAACCCGCACGAAAGACGCATCGTCATCAATAGCCGCACAGTCCAGAGAAAGCCGCACACAAAGTTTCTAGGCATGGTGCTAGACCAGCAGCTGAGCTGGAGGAAACACGTCGAGGCCACAGCTACACGATGCAAACAGTACCTCAACATGTTAAGGCTCATTAAAGGGACCACATGGGGTGTCCATACTAGCACCATGACTACGTTCTACAAAGCCTTCATAAGGTGAAATTTAGACTACGGCTCCATAGTCTACGGGGCAGCGTGCCGGAACATCCTACAGAAGATGGTCGGAATCCAAGGCCAAGCACTAACAACAATCTTTGGCTTGGAGAGAGGGGCCTGCACGGAGGCTATGAAGGTCGCGTTGGGAGTTGTCCCTCTTCAGCTGAGACGGAAACAATTAGCGCTAAACTACAGGACCAAAGTAGACCGCGACCCAGAACACCCAGCCACCAGGGTCCTCCAACCCAACCGGTACCCCTGGGAGGGGCCTTCCAAACCCATCCAAAAGTTTTAAAGACCGACGGCATGGCTAGTCGCCAGTCAATTACAATTCGACAAGGTAGCAGACGTAGTTAATAGCTGCAAAAAGTTTAAACGTCACTGCCACCGTGGCAATAATAAGAAGAAACTCCACAGGGGAGCATGTACAGCAGGAGTCTACCAATCGTCAGTAGAAGTAACCTCTCGTCGACAAATGTTTAGGCCCACGAGTTCCTAGACATTCTTAGAGAGTGGGCCCACCTGAGTTAATAAAGCTCAGGGTTGGTTTCCCCTGCTCCACGAATTACCGGATGTTATTCGGAAAGGGACAAGACGAATTGGTGATTTTGCTAAAGGTACTGTGAGATAAGAAGTCATAATTAGAACAGTCTGCATACCTGGACGACCGAGCAGCAAGCTTGCGATTGGTTTACCAGACACATGTTAGACTTTGTTAGCAGGTGGCAGAGAGACCCTGGCAGACAATTCGGACACGATAGACTTTAAGGGATGAGAAACTCTTTTCCGCTAGACACCGGACCAGCTCACCGAAGCCTGTCCCCTACGTTGTTTCGTTGTGAACAGAGCCAGCTCGAGGCCCTCTCAGCAACCTCGCCCAGCTGTTTAAGTGTCCGTTTACGTTCATTACCGCGCAAGCCTTGTTCTTTAATCACATTGTAGAGTGAAGTGGAAACGAGACCTCTTGCACACACTTCGACGGCAAAGACCCTTACTGTGTACACTTCGTCCCTCCTAAGACCGGCTGCTAAGTCACAGTACTTCTCGAGCTTGTACATATGGCTTTCGTCCATTCGCGACTCATAGGGAACGGTCAGCTCAATCAGGATGAGCTGTCGTTTCTCCGCAGAGTGGAGAACTATGTCAGGTCGCAGGCCGGTCTTTCGGATTGACTCAGGGTACCTTTCATGGCCAGGCAGGTTAACCGCCAGTAACCAGTCCCTCGCAGAATCTAGCATAGATGGAGCGTATGTGACGTTGTTGAGTCTACTTTTTTAATCTGCCCAGCCTTGAGCAAGCGCATGGGGACGATGGTAGGACTGGCCCTCGTCTTAGCCCTTATCCTAGCCTGGTCCACAACGGCTGCCAACTCGTTTAGCACCTTGTTGTGGCGCCAGGTATATCTGCCTTGACCTAGGGCTTTTCTGCATGCGGACAGTACGTGTTCTAACGTTTGTTTCGCTCTGCACAGTCGGGTCGTTAGTCGCAGACCACTTCACCATGTTGACACCGGACGGTAATACATCGTACGCAGAACGAACGATAAAGCTCAGTCGCAGCGGGGTCATTCACCAGATCTAACCCTATGTGAGTACTCTTGGCAATGCGCTCTCCAGGCTGACCCAATGGCCCTGCTGCGACTGTTGGGCTGCTTTCTGGACCCGAACCTCGTTTTCGTTGTCCCTTACTTGCTGTTTCACCATGTCTCGGCGCTCTTTGGCTGTGGCTTTGGACCACCAACTGACCTTCCCGTGACCTATGCCTCGACGGTCGGTTTGAGTGTAACCCATAATCTCACTCAATTTTAGTGCATTCTGGGCAGATTCGATCGCATCAAGGATTCTCAAATTATACTTCCCACAAACGTTATCAGCCTCGCCAAACAAGCCCTTAAAAATGCATATCCCAGCGAAGTCAGGAGAATAGCAGAGGACCACATCAACACGATCGCAATAGGTGCCCTGGTAGCCTACTCAGACGGCTCCAAGAACAAAAACGGAGAAGCCGTGTCAAGGGTCGTCATCCCGCACCGCTCGATAGTAATAAACCTTAGGCTCCTAGACAACTCAGCAGTTTACACTGCTGAACTAATAGGCATCTTGAAGGCCCTCGAAGCGACGGTGGACGACACCCCCCCCCCCCCACCCCCAGTCAAGATGTGTATTCTCACTGACTCACTGGCAGCTGTAAATCAAATGGCAAAAGTGGCCGGCCATACATCATAGACAAGATTCTGTCAGCCACAACTAGACTCAGCAACATGGGCTGCCCCACCACTATAAGCTGGATACCAGCCCACAAGGGTATCCCTGGCAATGAACGGGCAGATCAGGCAGCCAAAAAAGGGCAACAGAGCCCGGACACTGTCGACAGCGGACTAGGCAGGATCGAATGCAAGGCCCTTATTGCACAAAAGATAAACAAGGAATGGATCCATAGGTGGTCGACCAGCAAAAAGGGCAGATATGCCTTCAGGCTCCTAAATAACCCCAGCACCAAGGCGCACGTTAGGGAGTAAACAAAGATCCCTACAATTAACCACCTGTGGAGACTTAGACTGGGAGCTCAAAAAAGTGAAGCACTACCTGCTCACCTGCGACAGGTTCGAAGATCACAGAGATTACCTGAAAAACACTTTGTAAAAACCAACCAACCAATGACAGCAGCCGATGTAAACACAGCACCGAAACTTTCCAAGAATCGAAAACTTGGCAAAAAAAAAAAGAAGAAATCATGGCGAGCATCAAACGTTGAAGATGTTGAAGAGTTTCTGGAAGATGAAAGACGGCAAATACGAACAGGTGGTTTGGTTGCAGAGAAGGCGGATGAAAACCTGTTTCTTATTGATACAGGCTTAAAAGCTGCCAGTCAGGGTATTGAAACAAGAAGCAGACAGAGTCGGAGAGATAAACTGAAGCAGTTAAGATGTTATGCCTTGCTTCAGCCAGACCCTAACAGTAAACCAGTGCGCACACCAGACAGCCAAAATTTCCAGAGAGGATTGAGGAAAAAAAGAATAATTGACAGAGTAAGAGAAAGATCCAAGTCTCAGGTTCGAGTGGCAGCTATGAAGCAAAGCCAGAAGTATGAAGAGACGAGGAAAGTCGCGCAAGCACAGAAAAGGCAGTTGCCAGTTGTTGACAGTGATCTCTGGGCAGATGACAAAGATGACAGGGAATCAAATGTCAACAAGCCTCACAAGAGATACCACAGAAAGCCAAGTGCTTTAAAGGCTACAGTTATTCCACACCCAGGGGCCTCAGTCAATCCTTCCTTTGAGGATCATCAGGATTTGTTATACCAAGCTCTTGTGAAAGAAGAAGAAAGACTCAAGAAGGAGAGGAAAATTTACAATTCTTTGGAAGCTAAGTTTCCTAATAAACGTGATGCTCCTGATGAGTCCACATATTTGATGGAAATGTCTGCTGGGCTTGTGGACGATTCAAGTGATGATGATGAAGATGGAAGTGACGGTGACATGCTAGTTTCAATCAATCCTCCAGTGAGACGAGAAGACAGAAAAACCAGGAAGCAAAGACGGGTGCACAAGGAAGAGGAAGAAAATAGCAAAAACAGGGCAAAAGAAGCTGAAATAAAGAAAAGGGAGAACATGCTGTGAAAGAGAAACTGAAGGAACTGGAGCCTTTTAAAACAAAGCGACTTAGCAAAACAAGATACGAAGAACCAGACTTGGAGCTGAAGTTGTCCACAGAGCTTGTTGCATCGCTCAGGGAAGTTAAGCCTGAGGGTCACGTGTTTAATGACATCTACAAGAGTCTGCAGCGTAGGAATATTATTGAACCCCGAATCAGACAGAGGTACAAGCGGAAGTATAAACCAAAGAAGTTTGAGAAAAAGAGCCATAAAGCCGTCACGTTGTGATGTTGAGATGAATTATGAGTCTTCTTGGACATTTTGATGCCTATGTGTGAGCATGCAGCCACGGGAACGTGACAGATGTTAAATAAACAAATTTTTAACAGTAAAAAAAAAAAAATGACAGCCACGGCCTGTCTCCGTGTGAACTGCAGCCCGCCTATACAAAAAACGGTGAAACTATTCATCAGCAGAGCCAGAGGAGGTGCTGCATGCTTCGCTTAACCCCAGAGGAAACAGGCGATAGATCTGACACCAGACGTCCTACCAGAAGTCCAAGGCCAGAGTCACTCGGACCAGAGATCTTTCCTTCCTTACCTAGGAAGCTATACTTCACCTTCAGTCCTTCGACCTCACTATATGTCCTACGCAGCTTTTCAAGCCTTCCATTTTTCTCCGTGTGTTACTTTACCTCTACTACTATACCATGTGTCTCCATAAGAAAACTTGATAAACATTTGAAAAAAAAAAAAAAAAAAAGAATGAAACTGCCAAAAAAAAAAAAAAAAAAGGCCTTTCACAGACGAAAAAAAAAAAATCAGGCACATTCAGTTAACGCACATACACATGTATGATGCGAAAAAAAATAAAAGCACTAAAAGAAATTGAATATGGGACCCCGAAAAGGGCCTTGTTTGTGTCGCAAAGTGGCTTGCTTTCTGTTTCGGTGAGGTTTACCGCGAGGCAGCTTTGGTGCAAGAATTGACAGCGTACTTGTAAATCAGCAAATACCATACAACCAGCTTATTAACCAGTGACATCCACGTACCACTCAGGAACGGCCAGGCCTACCAATACGCTACAAGAGGAAGGACATTTATATCCACTCAGAAACAACGGACTCGATTAAATATGAGGCCCTCAGAGCATTTTGAGTCCAAGTTTTAAAAAAAAAATTTAATAAAGTAAAGACTGAAAGAGTTAACGAACTAAACCTCTTTGAGAAATGTGTAACTTGGGTTGCATTTTTAGGCTTGGAACTAGATCAATGCTAGCGACAAATGTCCTGTTTTCATAGATCGAAGAGAATTGTGGGGGGGGGGGGGGAAGCAGGGGGAAAGTGGTGGGGGGAGGGGGGTGCCAAGGAAACGAACTGAAACTATTTATTGACTAATATACAAATCAACAATCTTCAGATGACACCAAACTGGACATAATGTAAACTACAGTGCACAGGGATTCAAACATACCGCCTGCAAATGGCATTCTATTCAACCTCCCTATATGTTATTTTGTGTTCTCTCAGAACCAACATCATTGTAATATTATTGTGGTCTTATGCAATTTGTTTTTTCTTAATGTTTCATTTGTCTATCTCTCATAAAAATGTTTTATTTTTTAAAATCTGTTGTTTTTTTTTTTTTTTTTAACTAATAAATAAATTGAAAATGTACCAGCGTTTGTTTCCCCAAGTTGAACGTTTGAAAACAATTATTTAGCTTTTTTTTTTTCCATTGTCGTTTTCGGTCAGTTGTTTGATATTCATACACTTGTAAAGAGAATGTGACCTCGTCACTTAAACATAACCAGTAGCAATGTGTACACTATAGCCGACCTTTGTTGTAGAAAGGTCACAATTTGGTAACTAACATTTACCGAAAGTGTATAGCCAAGTATATGGAATCATCATCATCAGGTGCCCTGCCGATTGGCGTGGGAGATCATGCCTCTCCACAATCTGCGATCTCCTGCAGCATGTATCAGTTCGTGTGCTGACACATCTAGATGCCATGCAACAAGACTGTCGAATCTTCTCTCTTTTTCTTCCTCTATCCCTCATTTCACAGATCTTTCCATTGGTCACAACATGTTCTCTTTTCGCCTCTTCTCATAACAGGGATGAAAAATGATGACCGTCTCCTTCTGATGTCTGTGATAAGTTGTCTTCGGGCTCTCGCCTCTTTCAAAACCTCTTGCTTGCTCTTTATGGCTGTCTAATGTATTTTAAGCATTCTTCTGTAAAACCACGTCTGCGAGGCCTCAAGAAATTGACCTGCCAACCGACTGTCCAGGATTCACAGTCATATGTTAAAACTGGATGTATGTAGCAAGCAAGAATTCTTGTTCTAACTCTCAATGACAAAGATAGATTACATAAGGTGATGTTCATTTTATAAATGCAGTTTTGGCTTGGCATTTTTTTTAAATCTTAGTAATGCATCTTCCATCTGATAGTAACCATGTGTCTAGATACTTTAATTTGTACTTGTCTCAAAATAACACTACTGACTTTAATTACACATTTGGGGATAATTCTTTTCTGTGATACCACCATTACTTCAGTTTTCCCATTATTTAAACTGAGGCCCAATCTTCTACCACAATGTCAATCATTTGCTGTAGTTCTTTCTAACTTGTTGCTATCAAGACTTACCAGCCTAACGTAAGTGTTCATATGTGACTACCAAGCACAATTCGGGGCATATCAATTAAAGATCTCATTATAAATTCTCTGTATAGTAAAAAGAAATCAGGTAACACACAGTACACATCCTTGTCGTACGCCCTTCTTTATGCTCTAAAATGTACCTAAGCAGTTGTTAAATTCTTATAGCTGTTGTTTGCTGCCAATGCATGCATATTCTATATTATTCGTAGATCTTTTCCATCAATGTAAAACTTTTCTAACAGTTTTAGTACTTCCTGTTTTACACAGCCAAATGCACTGATTTCTGATTTAATTTTGCTTAATTTTTGTCAATTATTCTCAGTAATATCTTAGTCACGTGACTCATAAGACTTGTGCGATGAGCTTCATATTTTAAAGTGTCTGGTTTCTTAGACAGATATAAATATGGATTTTAAAATGTCATTTGCAATATACCTACTATTAAAATTATTTAAAAGTTTAGTTCAGGCCATCTTCCGAATAACGGTCCCAAATTGTCGAGGTAGAAAATATACCCTAACAGGGCCCCAGTCAGGTGTCAATTGCATACTTCCGGTTACTATACCTCCGCGGCAGAATTCCGAACTTCCGGCGACTTCCGCCACCACCGAGAGTATTCCCCGCCACCACGTGTCCCTACGCCGCTCACGCGGCGTGGATCGGAGCTAAACTAGATAGCTAGACTCAAGAGCAAATAAAATGTAGACAGCTGCAGGAAATGCTTTAGCTGCTGCTCGTGAGTCCCAGCCATCTAGCCCCAATTCAAGCCGCGTAAGCGGCGGGGGGGGGGGGGGGGGGGGAACACTCGGCGGTGGTGGAAGTCGCCAGAAGTGCGCAATTGACTCATGACTAAGGCCCTGTTAGGGTATAGATTTTCTGCCTAGATAAGATAGCCTTAGTTCAATTTTATTTGGTATGTTTTATATCTCATAAAGAGTGAGCCAGTATCAGTAATTTGCGAAAGAAAAGTGGCTAGGCTCCCGTATGACTCACGGTTGTTTTGACTTTGCATCTGCACTGTTGGGAATATAAAGTAACCCATTCTACGCCTTTAGGTGCTGGTTCTGTTGGGGGTTGGTTCTGCAACGTCTTGTAAAAGATACGCAACTAACCATCTGTCTTCTTTGTGCTTTCGGGCTAAACCTATAATTTTATAGAGACCATTGAATCTGAAGTATGTCGAGTGGAGATTAAGTATTCTACAATATGTGTTTGTCTCTCCTTTGAATAACGGTCCCAAAAGGATCTACACAGAAAGTTAACCATAACAGAGCCTTATTACGTCCTGCGCTACAAACATTTAAAAGCTGTAGCTCGGGAAATATAATGAACGAAAAGTATGAGAGGGGGGGGGGAGAATCTACTACTTATCGATATTGAAATCCTTTATGTGAAAATTGTGGCACAGAAGTTGCAAATAGTGCCAGAATACCATGTTTCTATCGGGCTGTTCGCCATTTCAACAGGGCGCGGCTTGTCAGCGATTCTAGTTCCAGGTGAGACAATCAATAATGTGCGCGCATGGCGCCTCAGAGCAACTTCAAACCAGCAGCCGTCACTATGGCGCTCCACTATCCCGACCACCTCTTGACCGCGGCGAATGTGACAACGCTGGCAGTTGCGACGGAAGAAGTAGCTGATACTTTTTCTGCGACTAGAGTGCCACCTCCAAGGGCCACGCGCCACGGAAGAGGCTAAACTAGATGGCTAGGACTCCCAAGCATACAATGGAGGAAGCTGCAGGAGAAGCGGTAGCTGCCGCTCGCGAGTCCCAGCCATGTAGTTTAGCCCCTTCCGCGCCGCGCGTAGTGGCGCGGGGGAATACCCTCGAAGGTGGCACTATAGTCGGCGAGAAGTGGTCCGCAACTTACATATAACTGTGGCGCTGCCGTAGGATAGCGCTGTCGGGAGTATTCTCGCGTGTCGCTAATTATTTTCGTCCGTAGTTATCCTAGTATTGCCGCCGTGTAATCGCTGTAAAAAAAGTCCGTCGCGTTTCGCGAAAATGAGCAGTTAAATCCTACTTTTGACGCGGTCGAATCGCCGCAAAAGAAATGCGAATGTTCGATTTGAGTGAGGCTGTTTTTTTTTTTTTTTTTTTGGGTTTACTTTCTGCGAAGATAATTTGGGACCGTTATTCAAAGAAGAGCCTCTTTTTTTTTTAAAGTTAAATCCAGGGTTATCTTACTTTCCAACTCCTGCATCCATACGTTAACACGGGAATCACCTTTTTCTGGCAGTCTGAAAATACATCTTTTCACTTGTGGGTATCGTTTGTTAGATTTTGTCAGTCAACTGCAACAAAAGCTCAGGTATTATCTGCTGCTTGAAACATGTTTGCTGTTCCCCCCCCCCCCTTTCAACAACAGCTTCGTTGCCGGAACACTTGTCCAGTGATGTGAATTTACACGCGTGATCAAAATAATTCCCTTCAGTATGTAAATAGGCGTTAAACAAAATTATCAATTTCCAGTTCTGCCGTTAAATGTCATTTGAGCGAGAGAGCTTCATTGTTACATAGGCAGCTATCGCCGTTGAATTAGTGTAGATAAAAGTTTTTTTTTAAACTATACTTTATGGCTACCCGAGGTGTATTGCCTGCGTTAGTAGTTCGGTTATTTTGTTAGATAAAATTAATTTGTTTCACAATGGATTTGTTGTGTTATGTTAAAGCTTGATTTTATAGTAGAATCGGCCCTCGTGCATGATGTCAACATCTATTTCCCTAGGATTTTTACCTTGAACATTTTAGGCTGGGTCGACTAGGAGGCAAAGCAGGGTTTAATTTTCCAACCGTACGTGAAGTAGATTTTGAAAACTACCCAAAGACTTGCCTTTAAACCATTACATCCCAGCTGCTCTATGCATTAGCATAAATGTTTTGCGGTACTTGAGTTAGTGGAGTTACATTCGTTGAAAATAAAATCCTTGGTCTTCGTCTTCGTCAATACATCCCACAGAGAAAATTAACTCTAATCGCAGAGGCACGAGCGGAGTATTTAAAGCTATCTTTCGTTTAACTGTACCTGTCTATGTTACTGTGCATGCAGTTCTGACTGCGCATGCAGTTTAGACAGATGGTGTTACTGGAGACAATAGTAAATGTTCTTGCTTGCACGCTTCTAAATCAATCCTGGTGCATTCAAAGTCAGACAGCAATTGTTCGATGGGCCGAGATTCTCGGGGATGCTTTGTAATGCTTCGATGTAAAGACATCAGGCCGTCAGGAGAATTGTGCCAATTCTAAGGGTCTTAAAAATCTGTTGACAGCCATTCTCACAAACTCCCAATACAAATGGTTTTTCCCCAGAGATTCCACTTTGGGACTACCTTTGAAATACTTAAGGACACTCAAGGACACTTAATAAAACGTTATTGAATGCAAGTTTCTGCATTAACTCTTCGAGTCTAGCCCGCACACACTACAATACTTTGTGGACATGAGTTGCAGAAAATAGGCACTATCGCTGCCTCAGGCACTATCGCTGCCTCAGCATGCCATCCATGCTTGTAACGGTTATTTCATAGGATGTTGTCTTAACGATTTCAGCATCCTCTAAGCACAAACTAGTCAGAAAACTAGGACAAAAGAACGCATTTACAAGACTGAAAGTGTCAAACTCAAACAGGCTACGTTACATGATTATTTTATTGCTTTCAAAGCAAACACCAAATTTTCTGTGATCATTTCGCTGGGTCCAAATTCTAGTGGTGGTGTGAGTCAGACTTGGGGGACGTCCCAGTTAGCCAGGAGCTGTGTTTGCTGTAGCTGGTGGAATTTAAAAAAAAATTATGAAATAAAGAACAAAGTTATGTAGCCTAAATAAAAATAAAAAAAACCCACTGGTACCCTGATAACAAATCAGAATTAAAGTTTAAATGTCCAGATGAAGTAAAAGCAAAAATAAACATTCTGTGCAATCTTTACTGAGACATTCACGTTTTACCGGCTGTGAACTCCAGCAGAAAGTTCTGGGTTTCCTCCACCTCTGGACTCTTGGGTCTTGTTCCAGAATTCTCTCAAATCCATATTTTACAATCTTTATGCAGACTCCGTTCCTTGCCTCTGGCAGATGCAACTTCGAAAAAAGCCTCAGTTAAGCATGCTTGTTAGAAAAAGCAGTGGGTTCTCCTTTTCCTACAATAGGGTCTTGAAAACCACACTGTGAAGTGCAATATAAATCATATCCTGATATGCAGAAGTGAATCATGGACGATTGGTCGAATAGACATTTGGAAATGTGTGAAAATGTTTAAGACAATACACTATAATATTTTAAATAATAAAGATGTTTTGATAGAATCGCGAAAAAACTGCATATCTACATCGTGTTTAATATAGGGCAACATGCACTGCAATGGATTTGACCTGTCTCGTTACAAAGCGGATGACTGCCAGAAGAGTTTTGCACAAAGTAATTTTCCTAGTTCCAGCACATACGCAGGATGTTTCTAATACAGGCAATAGCCAACAGAAGGACGGAGTCAAAAAAGTCAAGCACACAACGTTCTAACGCTGCAAAAACCCAGACACTTCAGTGTGTCATGCAAGAAAATTCCCAAATGCGCCACATTAGTTGTAAACTTGTTTAATCTTGTTCGTTTATATCTTGTTCTAATTCTGATTATACGTTCAGAGTGCTTTTCTACCATCTCTTGCTTTTCTCCCACTTATATCGCAGGCTGTCTATTCAACTCCCTCGCCCACAATATTGCCCACAAAGAAATGTTTGGAAAAAAAATTAGAATACTAATATTTGATAGTTAAATTACAATCTGCAATCTGACCATTTGTTTTTCACTTCATAGCATTCACCAGCTGTAGACGAAACAAAATCTGTTTCGTCTACTGGACTGCAGTCTGTTACAGAACTTCGTCTTGCATGCACAACCGTTTTACCCATCTGCGTCACCTGTATGCAGATTATCGTTTCCTCGCCTCTCAGAAGTACTGTTCCTTGCCTCTCAGTCAGATGTACTGCTGACTTAGAAACCTTAGTCTACCTTAACGACATTCCAATCGTAAAGGTTGGGCCATATTTGTATCCGATCCGTACAAAGAGGCCGTAAAAATCACGCCCTGAAAAACAAGCTATGCTACATGTGATTAGAAACACCAAAACCCAGCTTTCTCCAGTGAAAGAAAACTGGTACCCTAATGAACATTAAATAAAGTTAAATGACTTGCGTACCAAAACAGGCTTGGCAACTCAACTGCTAATCTTACAGTCACCTGCTTTGTTTTTAAAACATTGGAAACATTAAGAAATAAATGAAACTGCAGCGTTTACAAACATGCAGGGTTTCTAAAACATACGGCAGTTATGTTTTGAATGACATTATACACACTGAAAGCAAAGCTTTAGTGAACTTGATTCAAGAATATTGCCTCAAATTGACAAAATTATAGTGGCTTCTAAAGTCGTGCCCTCGCTTTTAACAGATCTCGCAAATTATGGATAAACACATGTGGTCCTATTCTGGTGCTGCTATGGTCTTAAAACGGAGATTTTAAATTATTTGTTTACCCCTAAAGAATAGATTAACCAGTAAATGCGTAGAGAGTTGGGGAAATAAGTTCACATATACAGCGATGCCTGTCGATTTTGACGGAATCGACGTCAATGAAAAACAGGAGGATCTGGCTGGATATAACCCCCTGATATGTATTTAAATGTTCCTGTTAATTGTAACCATGCTGACTATTTGCTTTAAATCGCCATCTTGTTTCGTTTGCCTCAAATAAGTTGAAAATCGAAAAATTAGCGTTTAAACAACAAATTTCAAGACACATGCCAAATTTCAACCAAGTCATCAGACGTAAACTAAATTTTAAAGTTAGGAGTGACCTCTGCAAAGGATTATACTTGCATCTCTATGGCCAAGACAAAGTAGTAAGATTAAATTAGAATGTCTAAGACAGTGCGGCAAGAAGCGAATTGACAAAACCAGTCTAAAATCCACATGTAACACCTCACAATTATAGCATACTATTATGAGAAGAAAAATCGCTGTAAATAGAAATGCATTTTTCATTTTGCGACACTTGGGTTAAATTTACAGCTACTGGAATGCAGTTTAAAGGCTTTGTAAATAGCATATTCTAACACTAGGCATTTCTCTGCACATCGTAGCAGCAACCAAAGATTTTACACTTGTCTTGTGTGCGAAGTAATGACGTTTTCTTTCTAATGTACTTTCTAGTCGATGTGGAGGCATTTCTGAGTTACTAATTTGAATCTGAATTCAATTTCATTTTAAAAAAATGATATGAAGTTTCGGGGAACAATGCATTTATGGTTTTCAAATGTATATACCAATCTTTTGCCATTAAAAAAAAAAATACATTAAAAAAAAAAATTACCGCCAGTTCAAGCGTGGGCTTAGCGCACTAAGTTGGTCTTACCTGGTGTGACGCTGTCTGGCTCTGCTGTCGGGTGCAGAGCAGTTCGGTTTCTGACAAATATAACTATAATGGCTGCTATAACAAGGAAGACTGATAATATAAGGACCACAATCATCATCCGGTATGCTCGTGGACGCACGGGACCCGTACGAGAATTCATGTCAGTCTGAAAACCGAAATTAACCATAAATATACATTAGTAACCATTTTCTGTGGATAGCCATATATAAACTTAAGAGAACACCAGTCAGAGTGCAACGAACAGATTGAATATGGTAGTTTATACACGAATAAGAACCTCCAATCTTGATCCACTTTATGAGCTAATTTATCTTACTGTGATAACAGATGTTAAGCAGGCAAATGGAGACCAAGGAAGGATGCTGGACATGGTAGTTAGATAAACCATGTGTATAAGAAACGTAACAGTGCCGAAGACCAGGATGTTTAACAGTTAACAGTCACCAACTAAGAGGAAGTATGTTCACCGTGTATATAAGTGAATGACTCAGTATGAATTTACCAATTTCGTGTTATGTGAATGAATGTAAACAGTTTGAAGACATACCACTTGCCTATCATCTAGAAGATCGCAGACCCTCAACTAGCTCATGTGAAGTTTCAGCAGGTTTGCACAGGATAGTTTGTATTTTATAAAGTTTGAAGCAGAATGGCAGGTTTCTCCTGAGATTACATGACTATCCTCCGAATAACGAGCACAAAAGATGGCGGCTGTAAAAACAACCTAACAAAGCCTCAGTCACGTGTCAATTGCGCACCTCCAGCGACCTAATATGCGGTTTTCACGAGCAGCAGCTTACACATCTCATGCAGCTTTGCGCGTGAGTCCTAGCCATCTTAGTTTATCCCCAATCCACGCAGTGTGAGCAGCGTGAGGGATGCCCACGACGGTGGCGGTAGTCGCCGGAAACGGCAAATTAGGTCGCCGCAAGTGACTGAGGACCTGTTTTTGGCTGCCAGCTTTTGTGCCCGCTATTCGGAGGATAGCCGATTACATTATTTTGCATCCTATGTGCAGTGTACATTAAACTACTGGTATTAAATAGACACTGAATGAAGCAGTTGTATTAACATCAAAGAAATCGTGAATGTATATAAGTTGTGCTCCGCCAGGACATCACACAAAGCGACAGACACCCGATGAAAATGGGCCACCATGCGGATGATCATCTGTTATACTCGTATATACATAATGTAGGTTACAAACTTTGTATTTTAGTGTTATTTCAAATGTAACAAACGCCAGTGAAAGTTTAGAACATTAAAGACGCCAAAGGGGCATTCGCTAAAAATAGATACACATGAATTGTCCTTGCACTGAGAAATTCCCACAAGAACTCAGATATCGCAGCCTAGCTGTAAGCAACGCAACGTTCCAGTTGCCTTTTGATTAGTTAGAACAGGCGAATCGTGGACAAGCAAATGTTTCTACTGGCAGTGATAGAACAACAATGGAGTATGACTGGATTTATATTCGGCAGGCTGACTAAACGAGTACTGCACAAACAAACCCCTGAAGTTTGTTAATATCACACAGTTTATCTCTACACCCATAAAACATGGAAGCGGAAGGAGATGAAAATGTCATAGTACCGAATCAAAGAACCCAAAGACCTCAAACCTGTATACAAATGGCAGTGACATGAGATCTTGCAAGTTTATCATGGTGCCAAGAAATCAACCGCTTACCATACACCTCTGACAATGCTACTTACATGTTGGCTAATAGAAATAATCGGGTAGACTAATCCCTGCCTGCACTGAAAAACACGTGTAAAATACGGCTTTTATAGAGGCTTTCCTGTGCCTGGGTATAACTTGTTGGCTCGTGCACTCATATCTAGGGAGTGCATTCACTACTAAAGCATGCAATCACTTCTAAAGCGTGCAGTCACTTCTAAAGCGTGCAATCACCTCTAAAATGTGAAGTCACTTCTAAAGCGTGAAATCGCCTCTAAAGAGTGTAGTCACTTCTAAAGCGTGCAATCACTTCTAAAGCGTGCAATCACTTCTAAAGCGTGCCATTGCCTCTAAAAGAGTGCAGTCACTTCTAAAGCGTGCAATCACTTCTAAAGCGTGCAGTCACTTCTAAAGCGTGCAATCACTTCTAAAGCGTGAAATCGCCTCTAAAAG